GCATCTGCAAAATCCTGGCGGCGGGCGCCGGCACGCGTGGATGCGACATCGCACCGCATGCAGCGGCTGGGGTGCCCTGAAAATGCGTGTGCCCGCGACGCCGCCGATGCCGCGACGCGGGCCGCTAAGCTCCACGCCAACGGCGCGGGGGGCCCGGCGGCGCTGCGGCGGCAACGGCCAGGCCCCCGGCGCCAGCCTGAGACTGCGCGGTTGGAGGCGGCCCCCCGCGGCGGGCGCGCCCCGAGCCTCGCGGAGAAATGGAGAATGGGCGCGAGGCGGGCCAGCGGCGAGGGCAGCTGCAGATGGCGAAGGGCTATAGCCGCTAGCCGATGGCACGGCCGCCGGCCGCATGCCCAGCCGCGCCGCGCGGTCTGCGCCTGGCGCGTCGACGCTGTGCGCGGGACAGGTCGGCGGGAACGGCCCGCCCAGGTCGCCAGACCAACCCTGCGCCGAAGCGGCGTCGTGCCAAGGCGCGGGGGGATTTCCGCGCCGCTCGCAGGTTGCCCTGCGTTTGCTGCCGCGGCCCTTCCAGCGGCGCCCTCCAGCGCCGCTGCCGAACCGGGCAAAGGAGCGGAAGGGGCCCCGCGCACCCTGGGCGACCGCGGCGCGCTGCGAGGGCTCGAGGAAACCGCGCCGCTCGCAGAAGGCCCCGCGCCAGCAGCAGAACGCCTTCAAGTGGTGTCCGCTATTAAAGAGGGGGGGGGGGGCGCAGGGGGAAGGGGCCCCGCGCGCCCCGAGCGACGGCAGCAACTCGCGACAACTCGGGCGCGCAACGCCGCTCGCAGCATGCCGCGCAGCTGCCTCAACAGCTGAAGTTGTCACGCAACGGCGAGACCCGCTGACGACAGCAACGCGGGCCACTCCTGAGGCTGCAGTGGCGCCAGAGGACGTCGCCCAAACCACTTCGCAACTCGGCGAGGGCGGCTGAGGCGCGGAAGACCCCTCGCGCGGGGCGACCGCGCGAGACCACCCAACCTCGCGCGGGCGGCGCCAATGGCTGGCGGCCCCCCCGGGCGCGGGGGCGGACCCGGTGCCGCGAGGGCAGCGCGAGCCCCCAAAACGTACATATAGGTCCCCGCCCCGTGCGGGCGGAAGGGGCCAGAACCTCAGATGGCGTGGCGGGCGCGCGCGGCCCAGGCGACGGCGGCGCACGAGCGCCAGACTCCAGGCAGTCGCAGCCTGGGGGCCGTAGTCCACGCCTGGAAGCGACCCAGCGCGCCGCGCCGGCGGGCGCGACTGCGCGCCGAAGCTCGAGCGGGAGCACATCCGCCACAACGGCCCCTGGCGTAGCGGCCAGGGCGGCGCCGACCGCGACGTCGGCCAGGTGCGAACAAAAGAAAAGAGCACGCGATCGCCAGCCTGGCGAGCGTGGCCCGGCCACGCGGCTGCGAGGCCAACGGCGACCCTGAACCCCAACCCGCTGAATGGTGAACGACGGCGGTGCTTAAGCGGCAGCGATTGGGGGAGCGGGCAAGAACTGGGGCCGCACCGGCGTCGCTTGCAGGGCGCAGACCGACCCCTTCAAATCCGCCGGTGCCGCGACAGGAGCAGCAGACGGGGAAGGCAGAGCCCGAAACCGCGATGGGCAGAGCGCCACGAGCCCAACCCCCCTGCCCGAACAACCGCCGCCTAGAACGAAAGGTCGGCCCCACCGCCTGCTAAACACAGACGGAGCGCAAGCAGAACCCCGACCGAACCCGAGCCCGTGCGGGGTGAAGAGGATGAGGTCGACGGCACGGAAGTGGACGATGAACTCCTGCGTCCGCCGCATTCGCAGGTCACCTCCGTGGAAAAAGCGGGCGCGCGCAAGGCACCTGGGGCCGGAAAGCTGCCGAGACTGCTGAGGCGCCGAACGCGACGAGAAAACGATAGTGCAACTTGTTCACAAGGCACGCCAAGTTTGAAGGGGGCTGGAAGGCCCAGCCAACAGCTTCGCCTCAGGCGGAGCCGAGCTCCCACTCTGCTGTACCGTAATAACGATAGTCCCAGTATGAGAGGAGATGCCATCTCAAGCAATAGGAAAATCCTGTTGGTCTCGATAGCGATTGTGTGCCTCGCGGTGAGGCACAATCAAATCTGGGCGGCCGGCCGCTTGAGCCGACGCGGCCGCGGGCGCGCGCTCGCTTCCACTCCTTTCGTCCCTCAGCTCGCTTTAGAGTCGGCACCCCAATTCAAGGATTTCTCGGGGCCTGTCGCGCGAGCCCGCGTGCCGCACGAGGTGCCCCTCGCGACGTTGGCCGCTGCCGCGGGGCCCCAGGCGGGCCAGGAGCGCCCCCAAAACGCCCCCGATACAGCCCAAGATGGCCTCAGTACAGTCGAGGCGTTGACCTAAGGAACCCTAAACAAGGAACGAGGCCCCTATTTTCCATACGTTTAAACTCCGATTTCCCATCAAAACCCAAAGGACAACCCAAGGCAAACTGTGAAGCAATCAAGGAATACGGAGCCCCTCCCCAACGAAAAGGGTTCCTTCTTCAGGGCCCCGACTGTACGAAGCCCCCAGATGTGCCATTCAGGTCCGAGGAGGACACCCCGCAAGGTCTACAAGAGGCGAGGCGAACCAACAGAACTTGCTTGTGGCGTCTTCAAAAAGTAGTTTCAGGTCGGGCATATCCTCCTACATGGGATTTGGGACAACAAATCCAAGAGACACCCCAAATGCCCAAACATGATGGAAGAACACTCGAAAATCGCCCCATAACTATTTTTTACGATTTTGAAGTATTCCTCCTGTAAGGGGACACGCCCGACTTACAATTGGTTTCCGACCCGCCGTTTCGGTCCTCCAACACCCCAAGACGGCCCCGGAGACTCAATCTCGCCCCAAGACGGTGCCAGAGGCCCCAGAGGGGCCTCTAAAACTAATCACGAGGGCCCGAAAGCGACCCAAGAGGCCCCAAAGACGGCCCACGAGGGCCCCAGGATGGACCCGAGAGGGGGGCCGCGAGCTGCGACTTCGAGCCTTCCGCCCCAGGATGACCCCCGAGACCGCCGGCAGGCCCTCCACAGGCTCCCAAGCGGCGCCCAGAGGCCCCAATCGGCCCCGAGGACCCAGGCGGCCCCCAAGAGGAACCCGAGAGGCCCCCGAGCGGCCACCAGGAGCCCTCCAAGGGGCCGCCGAACCATCCAACGGGCTTCTGACCCACAGCTCAAGCGCGGCGGCTGGATAGACCGAAGGCAACTTGACCCGCCGCCCCCGGCTGGCTTGCCACAAGGGTGCACGCCATGCTAGATGCTACGTGGCTGTATGAGCGTCTGCAGTATTCCAAGAAGAGGCTGGGCGAAATCCGCCGGAAACCGTTGAATATCCGCTACTAAGTGGACCAATCGCCTTCAAAACGGCAAAGACAGCCCAAGATGGCTCCCAAGACGCCTCTAAGACCCAAGACAGCTTCAAAGACGCCTCTAAGACGGCAGAGACAACCCGAGATGACCCAAAAAGCGTCAAAGGCGGTCCTAAAATGCCTCAAGGACGGCCAAAGCGGCGTCAAGAGAACCGAAGATCCCCTCCAGACGGCCCAGGAATCCCCCAAGACGCCCTAAAGGGCTCCTAGAGGACCCCCAGGATGCCACTATCACTGATTTATCATGCGTTGTGCGTTTGTTCCTTTTAGCGTTCTCGCGTTGTCGGGCTTCTGACGCTCCAAGACGACTCCATAGGTCCCCAACACCGCCCCAAGCTGGCACGAGAGACCCCCAAGAGGCCCGCAAGACGGCCAAATAGGGCTCCAAAACGGGGAGGAGGAGGAGGAGGAGGAGGAGGAGGAGGAGGAGGAGGAGGAGGAGGAGGAGGAGGAGGAGGAGGAGGAGGAGGAGGGAGGAGGAGGAGGAGGAGGAGGACGAGAAGGAGGAGGAGGAGGGAGGGAGGGAGGGAGGGAGGCCACAGGAAGCCCCAAGGAACCCCCACGAGGCCACCCAAAGAGGCCCGCGGGAAGCCCCCGGGAGGCCCCAAGGGGGCCCCAGGCAGCCTCCATCCCTTCTCGTTCCAACGGACTCCTCCATGCCGCATTTCCTTAAAACATCACTCCTCCATTAGGGAGCCCACAAAGGACGTACGCGCCCAGCTGTGTACATGAACACGGCCCCTCGATTCGCGAGACCGGCCGCGTTATACGAACATTTGTGCAATGCGTGCTCTCGAAACCAGCGTGGATTCATGTCTTCTTTCGCTCCTGATCCATGTCGCACCTACGGATGAGTCAGCAAGACGAGCGGTGCGTTTCACCTGCGACTTCCTCACCCGGTGTGGTCCTGAAACTTGAAATGCGCAACGGTCTCTAAGCCTCAGGCGGTCCTTTTTCGATATGCGGTTATTGCTTAAGCGCCGCGCGCATTCGCCTTAAAAGTTCACAACAGCTTCAAGGATGGAGGGTGGTTCGTTTTCACAATGTGGCTCTCGCCTTCGCGCCGCGCACATGGGTCTTCAGAAACCGCAGCAGCTTCAAGGATGAAGGGCGGGTCGTTTTCGAGATGTGGCTCTCGCATCAGGGACGCGAAAGTGCGCCTTGAAATTGTACAACGGCTTCTAGGTTGAAGGCAAGTATTATCCGAATTGTGGCTCTCGTATCAGCGTCGCGCACATCCATCTTAAACGTACAGTGTTCAAAGACTTCGATTGTTGAAGTTCCAGGAATAGTTGCCAATTGCTCTGACGTGTTTCATAATTGTCACGGCGGAACAATTACGTTGATTCCCCGTGTTGAAATGTCCGGATGGTGTCCTGGCACGAATTAGGATTGACGGGGCGCAACAATCACATTGATATTTCAAAAACTGTGTTTCGGCACGGTTGAAGATTCTCAGGCGGTTGTCTTCCAATACGGCACTTCCCGCAATGAAGCCAATTTCTCCTAGGGACCTTTGCAGAGGGCACTTGGAGGGAGGGCGTATTGCAACATCGTTGATGCGACTTGGGCTTCCTCTGGTCATATTCCTCTCTCTCCTCCTCCGTCGTCCTCCTTTTCCTCTCTCTCTCTCTCTCCTTCCTCCTTCGTCGTCCTCACCCAAGTATTCCCCAAAAGGGTTCAGACGGCTGGGGGAGCAGAAAGCCCAACAGCTAACCGAGGCTTCTGCCCAACTTTTGGCCGCATGGGCGCTTCGAGAGGGCAGGGTGCGGCGTTGATTCGCCGTGGGCGTCTTCGCACAATGCCAACGTGTCTTCGCACACAATTCGCCGAGACGGTGCCCGCGAGTCAGGCGGCCGTCGCAGCGGCGCGGCAGCGCGTCAGAGCCGAGTGCGTCGCGGAAACGCATCGGCGCCGCGGTGCACTCGCAACCGCTAGCAACACTCTGCACGCCCCAGGCCACCAAAGTTTTGACACATGGGAGATGATGCCGTGGGCCACCGATCATCATCAAAAAGAAACGCAACCGGCGGACGGCGGCACGCCCCGCCTCCCTGCCGGGAGAAGACGGTGCGTTTCTCGCCCCGACGCGAGAAGCGAGGCACGCGCGGTGGGGCCAGAGGCAGAGAGCGCGGAGCGAGGAGCAAACCCAAACTTTCCAGAACGGCGCCCCTGGGAGTCCCGCGACCCCTTCCCCGGGACCGGCTTCTTGGCCCGAGTCGCGTTTCGACGCTCCCGAGGCACCGGCGAGGGACCCCCTGGGGCCGAAGATAGCCCCGCCCCGCGTCCTGGTTATATTTTTCGACGCGACCATGTCTGGGAGGGGGAGGCGGACGAGGACAGGGAGGCGGGGGGGCCCGGGCAGCCGGCACTGCGCCGTGTTCGGTGCGCGGGCCCCCAGCCTTCTCGCGCGATCGCGCGCATGCCCAGACCTCAGGGCGTCGCGAAAGCACGGAAAGGGTGCTGCAAATTCCTCTGCATCCAATGATGGGCCTGTTTTCCACCACCACCACCATAAGTTGGAGGGGAAGGGGTCCCCCTCCACCACCTCCTCCTCCTCCTTTTCCTCCCTTTCCTCCTCCTCCTCCTCCTCGTCCTCCTCCTCCTCCTCTTCCTCCTCCCCCCCTCCAACTTATGGTGGTGGTGGAGAAAACGCCCATCATCCAGAGCAGCGTGCACGCCACGCGCAGCCGCAATTACGCTCACAGGCGCAGGGTGGTGCACGTGGGCGCCTGTTAAAAAAAGTCCCCGGTGGCAGACTTAGCTGTCCACGAGGCCACCGCCCAAACGTCACATCCGACCTGGTTGACGGCAGGGGGCACTCGTTACCGTGGAGCCTGTTTAGAGGCCTCCCAGATAGGGGTCGAAGTACAGTCGACGCGTACCATAAGAACGCGCGATAAGGATGCTAGGGCCTTGGAGGGCCATGCCGACTCTGTGCGAGCGAGGCGCGGCTAGCGAAAGCGGCCAAGGATGGGCCGAAGGGGCAAGGATGCAAGGGCAACCTTGGAAAAGTTGCTCATCCTTACTATGCGGGTTGACTGTAGATGCGGGCGGAGGGTCGCACAGCATCGTCGATGCATCGCCGACGCATCAGCGATACATCAAAGACGTTGGCAATGCGTCCCCGATGCTTCCGCAATGCGGCGCGATCCGCCGACCCCCCTCTACTCAGACCCCAGTGTAGGAGAGATGTAAAATTCGGGTTCCGGGAAGTCTGGTTGGCCTGACGGGACCATCATGAAAATGACGAGAAGCAATGAAAAATTTGAAGCGAGCTCCCGCTGCAGACATCCCCCGAAGACCAGACCTTTTTAAAGTCCAGGACGCGCTCGCCAGGCCGCGTCGGCAAACCCGAGGTCTGGCAGACTCGAGCCCTGCGCTTCCCCGAGCCTGCTCAGATCGAATTGGGGAGGCCTGGATAGAAAGAGAAACCACGCCGTAAACATACACTTATGGCGCTCCACGAGGATTTCGAAGGAAAAACAACGCCACTAACATAAACTGTTTTGTTAATTCGGGCCTGTCCCTCTACGGGGGGAATATTCAAACATAGTTAAAGCATAGTCAGGGGGCGATGTAATTTGTTTTGACTCTTTTCAATTTGGCAGTCAAAGTCCGCCTGTAGGGGGAAATGCCCGACCTAAACTTCTGGCGCTCCGCGAGGATTCCTCGGCTCCGCGCCGACCCCCCTGCCCGGCGCCCCTGGAGAGCGCGCCGACGGGGCGGCGCCGCCTGGGGGGGGCCCCGCGCGGAGCCAAGAAGTCCGCGCGGAGCGCCACAAGGTTTAGGTCGGGCATGTCCCCCCACAGGCGGACTTTGACTGCCAAACTGAAAAGGGTCAAAGCAACTTACATCGCCCCCTGCCTACGTTTCAACTATGTTTGAATATTCCCCCATGTAGAGGGACAGGCCCGAATGAACAAAACAGCTTATGTTGGTGGCGTTGTTTTTCTTTCGAAATCCTACGTTTCCCCGAACCTGCTCAGGCCGAACTGGGGAGGCCTGGAACCCCGGCGTCACCTGGGCGGGTAAACCGCTGCTCCTCGGACCTCTCCTGGGCTTCGCTCTGACCAGATCCCCGAGGCGACCCCAGCAGTGGCGACGAGAGGGCCTCCCAGGGTGCCCAAACGGGGGAGCAGGGGAAACTGGGCGAGCAGGCAGCGGCAAGGAAGGAAAGGAGGAGGAGGAGGAAGAGGAGGAGGAGGAGGAGGAGAATGAGGAGGATTCCTCCTCTGCAGGGGAGGCCTGGAAGCCCATGGCGTCACTTCGGCGTGTGGCAGGCGCTGCTGGCGGCCGTGCCGACGCCGCCCCCGCCGCCCTGCGGGGCGAGCCCGCCCGGAGGCGGGCCCGCCAGCTGGCCCACGACGACGGCGGCGGGGCCCGCCGCCTGCACCTGCCAGAACGGGAGGTTCCCCTCGGCCGTCTGCACCTCGCGACCGGCGCACCCAGACCCCCTCGCGCTGCGACAGAAGTTGCCACGGGAGGCTCCTCGCTGCTCTCTGCCCCCGGGAGGGGGCCCTCGCCGGCCCTCGGGACCGTCGACGAAAGCGGCACGGGACGGAACGCCCGGGGAAGGGGTCGAGACCCCTGGGGGGTCGACGTCGTGACGCGATCACGGCGTCGGGGGTCTCGGTCCGCACCCTCGCGGTCTGGGTCTCTGGGGCGCGATGCCGCGGCATGGGCGGTCGCGCGGAGACGCGCCGCGGGGGGCATCCGCGAACAGAAACTGAGCAGGGACCGACCGCCCCGGGAATCCTATACATGTACACGCACACATATATATATATATATATAAATGTAAATATAAATGTATGTACATATATATACACGTATAGAAACACGAGCGCGCTACGCGCAATTAGGTTCTAGTCGCAGGCGAGGGACGGGTGCCGCAGAGCACATCATTTCGAACTCCACAAAACTGCCTTGCGTAGTCGGGATCGTCTCGCAATGCACGAACCTCCGACACTGTGCGGTGCTTAAACGGCCCGGATCTATCCCTAGACGTTGAAAACCGACCCCAACTGGGCGCGCCACTGCACTTACTTAGTGCTTGGCTTACTTGTATGCTGCATACTAACCAGTTACCCGACTTAAGAAAGCGAGGTTAGCAGCACCATGTTAGAACCGACCTATAATCAAGTTACGAAGCAAGTTAAGTAACCAAGCTATGTGGTTAGCGATGCGCGCTAATTTGGTTACGCATGGATATGAACACTCGGTGTTCACCGTAACGCTTCGCTCTCTAAGGGCGGGGACGCGGGGCAGCGGACAGGGCGTCAGCCCTGCAGGTATAAGAACACTCGGGTTCGGCGGGGAAGCGCGAGCCTCGATGATATAGGAAAGTGCGGGGTGGCGGGGGGGGCGCCAGCCCTGACGAGACCAGGAAGGGATCCCAAGGGGTCCCAGAAAGGGGGGCCAAGACGGCCTCAAGATGGCCCCAAGAAGGCCCACGGGGTACCAACTGAGTCCCAGCGGGGCCCCATGAAGGAGGTGGGGAAAGGAAGAGCAGGAGGAAGGGGATGAGAGGGAAGAGAGGGGAGACAAAAGGGGGAGGAGAGGGAGGAGAGGGAGGAGAGGCGAGGAAGACGAGGGGGAGGAGAGGCAGGCGAGGAGGGGGAGGAGGAGCAGGAGTTTGCTGGGCGGCGGGGGACGGGCGCAAGCCCTTAACGATTTTCAGTGCTGTCTGAAGTGTGTACGCCCCACACGCTTCATCAAGTGTTCACACGCTGCGAAGACGAGCCCCCGAATGCTTAAGCTTCGGAGGCAATATTATACTGGCAACCTGGCCCACTGCGGCATCTTTGAAAACGCACGGCTCCTGTAAGTGATGGAGGGGCACTAAAATTCCGTGATCCCCCACGGTGCACTTCGCGCACCCGCCCGCCGAATTTACAATCGGCCACTGGGACACGCAGCACCCGAGCCATCCGCCGACGGTGCAGAAGAACTGCACCTTACCAAACCAAACGAGCCCATCCTCCCCCAACAGAGTACAGACGTCCCTACACTGTACTACTCTACCCTGGGCGTATGCGGAGTTCGCCATGTGAACTTGGCAACCCTGTGCAAAAGGAAAAGCTTTCAAAAACGCAGACATGGCCCCCCTGCTTGGCAATTTCAAATTTATCAGAGTTGGCCGATCGATTGCGTGGCGGTCTAAATCGTAGAGGTGCTGTACTGTGACCTCTTCTAGAACCGAGCGGTCGAAAGAAGTCAAACTGTGCCTGGGTGTCATGACCCTCTTCAGAACGCGGTGCTTGCGTTCGTGCATGAAGGTCGATATGATCATGCCGTGGAGATCTAGAATGGACGGTATGTGTAGCAAGTAGTGCTCCTTCGCTTTCCACATAGTGAAACCGTACGCCGCCTGGTGCAGCGTCAGATGGCCGTGTATGGCCCTTGCGAGCTCCTCGGCCCTAACGCCGCCGCTGTTCACAATGGTCAACAACTCCATCACGCGAGCCAGGGCAAGAAAGCTGGCCGATTCTGCAACGCACACGCCCTTCCTCATCACGACGGCCTCCACATACTGCGCCAACACGGGGCAGAAGGACAGCAGCTCGGACGCCGAGCCAGTCGGCGAATGGTCAGCGTGCTTGCGGCAGACGGGCTTGGCGTGGGCGTACGCGTTGGGCCAGTGCCATACTTGAAGATATCTGTCGATAACATCGCCTCCCAAACCGTGGTCACCGAGCCGTCCCACAAACGCTGACACCTCCTTTGCGAGCGTACCGTCGATGCAGTAGCAATGCATCCAGTCATAGCACCAGCAACTGGTTAAATTGAAATCGATATCGGAATCCTGCAACAGCCCAGTCGGTATGTAGTTAAATCCGAGCAACGTTTCCAAAGATTCCAACTCGCTCTTCGTGCCGTTCGTCGCCACGTCATGCAATCTCCTCTGGATCGCCTTCACCCCTTCATCCGAATGCAACCTGAACAACGAAACGTCGAGCTCCGTCGACGGGATGAGGAAGCCAGTGGGGTCGGGCAGGTACGTGCACTTGAACGCTGCGATGTTTTTGCAAAGGGCACAGATCTTGATCCCGCCAGATCCTTTGACCCCCGTCGAAAACTTGTGGCCGCGCTCGTCCTGGACGAGCATCCCCATGCATCCCGTCACGAGCCGAAGAGAATTTTCACCCTCGATGAACAGGGAGACGCCGTTGCGCAAGTCGTGGCCGCTCGGCCCCCCGAAGAAAAACTTGACCGCATACCGAAACAGCTCTGCCATTCCACCACGAAGCTCCGCCACGGTGTCCGTCCTCGGCGCGCAGATGGTCATCCAGGCCAGCTCGCAACTCAAGATGGGGAACCCGAACTCTTTCAGGGTCCAATAGACCGCTTGTGTCTTCCTGGTGTTGTGCGGCTGCAAAGCCTGACCAGGCGTAATCTCGTCCGTGTATAAACAGATGGATACACGGTTGTTGGAGTCGTCCAACACCCTCGTCAGGATGGCCCGAAACTCCGCGCAAGTCTTGCACGCGGCCTCCAAGAAAGCAGAAGGATGCTGGAAGAACAATTGGACGGGCTTGCCGACCGTCTTGCTTGGGACGGACCGCTGCTGAATCAACTTCCCGAACGTGGTGCTCTGGAAAGCCACTGACTGCCTCGCCCGCCGTTGGCTTGAAGATGAGAATGCTGCGGGGATCACCCCGCCCTCATCCCGAAGCTGTCTGAGAAGGTGTTCCAACCCGCTGGCGCTCACGTGAGCGTCGCGGCCGAGGTGAGCAAGTCTGCGCCTCTTGACTTCCGTCATCGGCTTGAGCCAAAACGGCTTCGTTGTAGCGCGCCATGCGTCGTGATCTCGGGAACGCCTCGAGCGCCCCGCAAAAGCCCGACCGATTGGGGGAGGGGGTGCACCCCAACATGCGAGCCTGCAAAAACCATCAAAAAAAGCCGGCTTTTCCGAACCCCCTGTCAGCACCGAATGGCCCCGCGCAACACTTGCCCTGGCGTTAGGCACGAGGGGGAGGTGGACGGGTGAGCGGGGAGGAGGAGGGGAAGGGGCAATACTATGCCATGCATGGCCGTGCCAATTCCACGATGCGCAATGCAGTGCAAAGCAAGCCTTGCACCTAATGGCATAGCGTCGCATAGCACAGCCCCGCGTATCGCATAGCATTGCATTGCCGACCATCGCTGAATCGCATAGCATGGCATAGCATATCATAGCATGTACCATGGCGTTGAGCTGAGTCGCATAGCGTAGCATTGCCGACCATTGTACATGTAATGTAGCATGACATAGCACGGCGCTGCATAGCAGCGCTGATGGCGATGATGGCGGTGGCGACGGTACCGATGAAGCTTCTATTCGCACTCGCGCAGTGATGGCCTGGGGTCCAATCTGCGTGTCTGGAGCCGCTCGTGTTTTACATACGAGCAGCTGCCTGAAGCATGCCTGCGGATGCTCGCTATCTGCACCTACTGCACACAGAACCACATAGTGTAAGTAAGACGGCGCAGGCGCGAGCAAAGGGGCAAGCACGTCTCGCCGTTATGGCGAGGGTCAAGAGAGGAGGGCCTGCTGTACAAGGCCTTACTTCCTGCCACCCGCCTTGTTCGCTTTGCTCCAAACGTCGGCGGCATCCGAGTATGCCTTGCGGGCGATCTTCACGATCGCGTCGTCGCTGTGGCCGTAGCTGGATGCCAAGCGCTTGGCGTTGTCGTACGCCCTGCTCGTGTAGGCGCCGCGGGTGGTACCCTTGGCGTCGTGGGGCTTCAACCACTGGGAGTAGTCCACCGTGCGCTTGGCCTTCTTCGCACTGCCTCGCACGGGCCCACGGTGGTGGCGGGGGGGAAGCAAGGAGAGGCGGGGTGACGGCGAGACGGGAGGAGGCATCCCATGGGGCATGGATTTCAACCATTCACCTCCGCCTCCTCTCGAGTCCTCCCTTGCCCTCCTCCTACTCCTCCTCATCCACCTCCTCCACCTCCTCCGTCGTCGTGCCCATGAGCCTGCAGCAGGCTGCGGGTCAGCTGCGGCCTCGGCCTTGGCCTTGGCCTTGCCCGCAGGCTTGGCCTTGGCCTTGGCCTTGGCCTTGGCCTTGGCCTTGGCCTTGCCCTTGCCCTTGCCCTTGGCCGTGCCCGCACGGGCCGCGGCTGCGTCCCTCTTCTTCTTGGCCTTCGCGGCGTCGACCATGCTCTGCTCCAGCTCGAGGAGCTCATCATCGGGGTCCACGGGCGGGTGATGGGGGGCCGTGGGCCCCCCTGCCGAGACCGCCTGGGTAGGCAGATCAGCCGCCCCAGCCGCAGCCGCCGCGGCCGACGGCGGGCGCGCGATGCCGTATGGCGGCGCGGCTGGCTGCTGAAACATCTGCGGCTGAAAGTTAAGGCCGAACTGGTTGGCCAAGGGCTGAAGCGCATCGAAACCACCTTGGCCGAGCGCCTGTGTAGCCAGGCTTGCCAGGAGCTGCAAGGGGC